AGCAGCAGTAGTAATAGTAGTAGTAGTAGTCCTTGTGTCCCTCGTAATTAATATACATACATAGTTACATACATACATACATGCCTACAGTTTGCCTGCCTGCGCCTGCCTACTTGCTTGCCTCAGCTTCAACAGCGGAGTTTCAGGTGTCCCCTTTTCCGCACACCCTGTGCGCATTTTAGCCTTTTTCTTCTTCTTCTTACAATTACTTAAAATGCTGCAAGTATGAATTATATTAAAATAATTTTCGAATTAAATCAAAACATAAGTAAGCAAGTAAGTAAGTGAGTAGCTAGCTAGTTTTAGTTCTTGTCTCGCAGTTGAATCTGGAGATGACGCAAGATTTTGTATCGCCCAGTCCGATTGTTATTTCATCTATCTAACTAGATAGCCTATGCATTTCGTTTCCCTTAGATTATGGTGATCATATTAGGAAAGTGAACACAAAAATAGAAAAGAAGCAAATGGGGAGAAGGGGGGGCTATGGGGAGGGACCTGAAAATTCATTTTCTGGAAAATGAAATGGGGCTATGGGGGGGTGGGAGTTGAGAGAATGAGGAAAAAGAAATAAATAAAAAAAACATTAAAAATAAGAAAATGAGAGGAAAATGAAATGGAAAATGAATAGGGGAAGGGAAAGGGAAAATAGGTGAGAGAGAGGGAAAAAGCCAAAAAAGAAAAATGCAGGAAAGGGAAAAGGAAAAGAAAAAGGAAAAAAAAAAAAAGGGCAATGCTCAATTCAGAAAAAGACCCCCCTCTTTCTCTCTCTCACTCTCTCACACTCTTTCTGCTCTCCCCTCTATTTTGCTTTGCTCTATCCCAGAAAAGAAAATAAATAAATTATAATCATAATAATAACAATTTAAAAAAAAAATAAAATTAAAAAAGAAATAAAAATCGATCTAAACCAGGGAAAGTAGAAGACCCATCCAAAACCTTGAGAGTCACCCGAGGAACTGGTTCCCATTTGGAGATTTCCACTGCCACTAAGCAATTCCTCTCGTTTTTTTAACACTGGCGCCGTTTCGAAGCCTAAGCGGCCCAAAGTAACGATCTGCAACCGTCCCCGACGGGACGTCGTCAGTGGCACTAGGCCATCACCAACACGGCAACGCCAGGGCTTCCCTTCGTCCCTGCGGTCCATCCTCATGCTGAGATCCTGTATTTGTTCATAAGCTTCGCCGATCCCCTTCGGGGCCCTTCCCCAGACTGTCTTGTCTTTCCTTCTTCCTGTCTGTCGGGTTCTCACCTTCAAAAGGATTTCTGAATTGTTTTTCTACCTCGAGCTGACCTGGCTCTCTTCTACTCTTTCTCCTCTCTCTCATACTTATTTCCTGGTCTACTACCCTCAGGAAATCTACTTTTACTTTGCGCCTCTCCCATCATCCTCGAAGCTTGTCCTACACTTGCATTCTCTATACATTTTGCGCGGATCAATTCATCCTCTCCTCCCACATCCTCCTTGTTGATCATCCTCGCGATCTATTTTCTCTCCCACCCCCTTCCATTCTTCTACTCCTCCCCACCTTCTACCATTCCAGTTCACCCGCGCAATTCCCTTCTTGTGTCGTCAACCTTTCGCGGGGAAATCCTGTGTTTTGGTTCCTGCATTTTCCCAGGGATATCTTGCGCCGTGAATCTCGTGCCCCCAACGTCTTGTCTCACTTTTTTCTTCTCAAATTCACACGATAAACCAACTATCCTCCATGACGATGGTCATTGAGAACCAGAACCGCCAATACGGCGGGATGGGCTTCGATAACGTGTATCAACACAACATGCACCACAGCGCTCCGCAGTTCACCGACCCATGGACCGCTCAAACTTCGTCCCATTCCACTCCCCCGGTCTACGCGACTTCCATGGGACCCAGCCAGATTGGCCTCAGCCATGTTAAGCAGGAGGAAGTGAGCCGCCCACCGATGTCTATGCCATACTCGAGTATTCCCGTTTCCGCGCCCTCGATGGTCGCCGGGAGCAACTATCCTACTGCTACTGCTTCGAGTTACCCCGGACCGGAGATGATGGGTTTGTCGCACGACATGCCGCGCACTTCTTTCGATCAAGCCCCGGCCTACACTACCGCCTCGCCCATGACCAGCTTCGCACCCGCGAGCTACGCCCCGCTCAGCTACGCTCCGTCTATGCACCAACACCAGGACCGTCGGATATCTCATGCGTAAGTTTACTCTTTCATCTGGAGCTTCCAGCGGTGTGGAAATATGCTTACATTTCATTTTCATCCTGATTAGTGATGCTCGCGTCGGTCAATCGCAACCCCCTTCCGCCCCAACATTCGGAGATGCTCTTGATGCCAGCCGTGGAATGGTCGCGCTCAGCCAGGATATGACACCCCGCAATATCTACGGCCCTCGCAGCTCGCGCGGCTCGGGTGACTCCTACGGTTTCCCCTCGACACACTCTTCTGGATCGTCGATCTCTTCTGGCGGAAACTACCCCTACTATTCCGCCTCTGTCGCATCTGTGGAGTCCTCTGTGACTGATTACAGCTCTACTACTTCCGAATCTTACGAGAATGGCCATCTGTCGCGGACGCTGCCTCGCCCGTCAACCCTGCTGACGGGAAGTGCGCCTCCGGGACCCCAGTCGATGATGAGCCAATCCAGCTCTAAGATGCCGTCCAACACCCAGAAGAAGCACAAGTGCAAGGTGTGCGACAAGCGGTTCACCCGCCCATCGTCTCTTCAGACTCATATGTACAGTCACACTGGTGAAAAACGTAAGTTCCAGAACCAGCCTTTACTAGTGGTTTGTGGTGCTGATATTCGGGAATCTAGCATTTGCATGTGACGTGGAAGGCTGTGGCCGTCATTTCTCCGTCGTCTCCAACCTGCGGCGGCACAAGAAGGTCCACAAAGGAGAAAAGGAAGGTGCTTCGGGCGAAGATGAAGAGTAAATCAAGTCACTCTTCCACAGTCTCGAACGCCTCCCCCTTAACGCCACCTTAACGGGGCGGAGGAACAGCGGACTACGATCCTGAGACGCATCGCAACACATTGTGCGACGTCCCCCTTTTGAATCGGGTTCCGTATTCTTGTACAACAGCTTCGATTCCTCTTCTACTTTTCTTCTCTTTCCGTCTCGGCCAGTGTGGCAGAGAAACGATACCCCATTTCTTTTGTTTCCTTTGTTTTTCTCAGATTCCCCTGGACAGGCAAGACACGGTACAACGGCTCGGAGGGTTGCTAGTGATGTCTTTATTACCCAAGTTATGACCATAGAGGTACCGGTTGTTTTGCTCGTTGGTGATTTGTTTTTTCCTTTTTCTTTGGTTTTGATTACCCATTTCCTTCTTATCTCTCGCTAGACTAGGGAGTTGGTCCGATGTTGTTTGATTTCCTTTTCTGTTCGGCATGGCTTTTTCTGTTCAGATACCAGCTGGGGTTTGGTTCTTGATGATTCACTTCTTTTCCTGCGTTTCCGTGATATGATTGCAAATCGGAATATATACGCAGCAGGCCCTTTACTTTCTCATGTCCTTTTTCTTCTACGATCTAGAATATTTCTCTTCTTCTCCCCCCTTTTTTCTTATGTTTGTTTCCATTCGGTTACTTGACCTTTTTCCTTGCTGTGCCGCAGAGTCTCGCGCGATGATTTGTTATCGGGAATTAGCATGGGCTGTTGATCTGAGTTGGGTTTGTTTTTCTGCTGGGATAAATTGCTATAAGGAGGCGCACTCGCCAACGCGAGTGCAGGGCTGATACCCGTTGCAATTGGGCGGAGCATGGGCTGGGAAATGCAGGCTGCTTTGTTTGCCACGGTTAAACTTGTTTGGAGCATACTAGACACCCACGGTGTCACCACGGTCGCTACTATATACCTTATTGTCTAATCAAAGATGCTTGAAATGCACCCCCGGGGTTCCTTGTAGACTGACGCTTTTCTTATCTCTGTACTTTTCTTCGAACCAGTCTTGCCATGCTCAGTGACAGTGACCCCCGGTCCGCACGCGCCCCCGATTGACCTGTACAGCCTTCACGGCGGAGGGATGGATTCATCTACTTTTGCCCTAGAAGTATGAATCCAACTCCGTGCAGCAGGTAAGCTAAGACCCTTGCTTGACTGCTTGTGCTTGCATCCATCGGCGTACCTTCTTCACTGGGAGCTGTGGATGCTGAATTGGAAGCTAAAGCATCTGTGCCTTGGGGGCTAAGCAAGGGTCACCCCCCGACTTTCTCCGCGTTGTCCAAGTGTCTGTCAATGCTCGGGAATCCCGAATGGGCGAACATCAATGTCTGTTGTCTCTATGTCCATAATGTCTTCATCTTCGTTCGACGGGGTGTGGTTTTTTCAAGACTTATGTGCTGTTAATGTGTTTGTTATTCCAGATGTGCGCAAAGACTGACTCCGGAGCAACCGGGTTTGTTTTTAGGTGATGTGGATTGTCATTAGGCTAGTGAGTTCATGACGGAAGGTTGGCTAGCAGCCCTAGATATATATAAACAATAACCATATATATATCCAGTCTGCTATATATGCGAAGTGGCTGGGTTCACGGCGGAATCGCTAATGGTGATGGTGTAACAGGTTGTGGGCTTGAAGCGCCGGGCGCGTTTTTGGGAAAGAGGTTATTTCATTCAAAGATGATGACGAGGCATGCTCATAGCTTGCAGGAGATGCTGTTCATCCTATATGCACGTTGACCTCGAACCGGTCTTGCATATTGAAAAGGCTTCAATGTCGGGGTTATCCCCTTCCCCCCTGGTGATCATCCATCAGCAAAGCCAACAATCCGCAAAGAAAAACACAGCAGAAGCACCAAGAACTTGCGGTATACAGCGACATACGGCTCACGGCAACTAGCATGTTCAATCTTCCACGCGAAGCGATAGTAATCTCACATCGCACCAATGGCTATGCAGGACATTGTGTCCCAAACTGCGCATGACATTGTGTATGCAGGTTGTCCCACAACCATCTCCATTATATGTCGAATAATAATAGCAGGCGCTAACTCGGATACTCTACCGCAGGTTTATCTAAATTAAGAGACTCTGGTTCGGAAATGTTTTCAACGGCCGATGCATGGCCACGAGGGCAACGGCGCTTATATCAAACCTTGTTGGTTTTATGCGCGTCTCACACCCACTGCCGTCCGCGAATGCCTGTTAGACAGATTCCAAGGTAGATTACACAGGCGTGTGGCTATATCTGCAAGGCTGCTTTTGGGTGTAGCGCCTGTGCTGCCCATAGGATATAGCTTGCTGGCCTGGGGGTCCCATGTTATGCCCAGCTGACTTGGTTGAATGTTGGAGGGTTGTTGCCTGTGGATTGTCTGTGAGATATCGGGAATATTGAGATTATGCTTTCTGTTGCTTTGGAGGAAGGCTTCTTTCTCGTCGACTTCAGTCCTCACCGGTTATCTCGTGTGGAGGCAGTGTATCTGGCTATCCAACATATCAATGCTTGCGTGTATCAACTGGACTGGATTGATTCAGCATGGCTGAGAGGGATTCCTGAGGGATGTCAAGGCAGACTGGTTATATTGCTTCTCAGAATTGGAACTGAGTGAATAGGTGGTGATTCAGTGAGCATCAGTATCTGCAATAACTGAGTGGATCTTTCTCCTACTACTTATATCTGTCGATGCTTCCTTCCATCAGAATAACCTTCTCACCACCAACACACTTCATCTTCTGCTTCAGTTGAGAACAGAAACTTGCAACCCAAAACACTCGCAAGCTACTCATCTCTCATCCAAGAAACAAACAAACATCTACACCATGATGCTTCTCAACTACCTCCTCGTCTTTCTCCTCCCCTTCCTCGTCACCGCAATCCCACACTCAATCCCCGATGATTCCAATAACACCGATACCGACACCGACACCGACACCGACATTGACACCAAAACCAACGCCAACGACATCCTAACCACAACCTCCATCTTCAGCTCCACCATCTCCAACCTGAAAAATCTCCACCTCACTTCCTGCTCGCTCAACACCACCACTCTCAACATGAACCACAACCTCACAACCCTCCCCACCCCAGCCAGCAACCTCACCCTCCAGCACGTCGCCCTCGGCCGCGGAACCCAAAACTACACCTGCCCTTCACCCCAGAATTCTACCAGCAAGCCCACCTCCGTCGGCGCCCTGGCCACCCTCTTCGATGTCTCCTGCATCGCCTCGGCCGATGAGGAGCTCCTGCACCATCTCCCGGCCCTCATGCAAGGCGTTCCCCTTGAGACACTGGACTTTTTCGCCACGTTGATCAGCCTGGCTGGAACGGGAGCTGGCATTCTTGGTGAACATTACTTTACGGGATCTGGACAGCCGTCCTTCGATCTCAGGTTCAGTGGGGATGACGATTGGGCTACGATGAAGAAGGTTGCTAGTGCTAATGCTCCGAAGAGTGTGGATGTGCCGTGGCTCAAGTTGAATGGGATTGATGGAGTGGGAATTAAGGTATGCATCGCGTCTGTATCTGTGCTTGTGTGCCTAAGTTACATGGTACTAACTGTGGTATGTAGGAAGTTTATCGTGTTTATACGGCTGGCGGTGTTAGTCCGGCTACGTGCGCGGGACACGAGGGCGCGTTTGAGGTGGAGTATGCGGCGGAGTATTGGTTTTATGGATGATGATATTTCTTCTGGGGAATGATGCTCGTTGTTGATCTGGTGCATGTGGTACTTTGCGATGGTCTTCAATTGCCTAACTTATTGAGCAACCTAAATTCGTGATCAATTTCCTCACAGACGCAGAAGTAATTCAAGCTCATTATTGTCGTGTAGAGGATTAAACAAAGAGAAGATGGATATCACTGCAACTTCCCATTAACCACACACTCCATCCCGACAGACCCATCCCAATGGAACATCTATACCCACACACCCTATACTCAACAGATCCTATAACCTAACACTAACTAAAGCGCTTAAACCCAGCCACGTCCGGATCCCTCCGCCACTGAAAGGCTATCCAAGCACCACGTCAACACAAAGTCTATCTATGCTTTGCTTCAGCTGGCAGCTGCGCCCAATCATTCCACATAAAGTTAAAGCAACAGATTGGCCCATCATATAAACTTGATAGTACCAACTTCAGCCACAATCTAACCCACAAACCACCGCCACCACCTCGAACAAATAACTAACACGGGCTGGCAGTTAAGCGGGATCTACCTTCTATTCCACGTTTCTTTCTTTCAGCTGTCATCATCCACCATGACAAAGGTTCAGATTAGAAGTAAGCACACATGCATATTTAGTTTCCCATTGAGAGGTATCCTTTCCAGCTGGGTAAATCCTATTATTCCTGACGAATAGCTGAACAAAAAAGTAGTACCTTCAAAACAAACCCACACAATCAACTAACCAGAAACTAAAATAGAGTAAATAGTTAAATAGTTAGTTGATCTATAACAACCGATTATGTCATACCCACCACACTCATCTCACGTGACTTCATTTGTCTTCCCCAAAACCGGTAAGCTCCGGCAGTAATGGAAGGCTCACTCACAGGCCAGACAAGCCAGAACAAGCCAGCAGCTGAGAGCAAAGAACTGGGAAGCCTGGAACACCCGCGTTTCCCCCCAAAAACGCGTAGCTCCAAAGCAACCACCACCACCACTTCCGGACGGACCTCCATCCCATCCACACCCATCTCTTTCCCCCCCCAATCATCAATCTCTCTTTCTTTCATCTCTTTTCTCTGTCAGTACAACCACAATCACCATACCATTCACGGGTTTTTCCTTCCGTCAATTAATCAAATTGAATTTTTGTTTTAATTGCGCATGGTGGTTGTGAGAGTGTAATCGTCTCATTCGCTTCCTTTTCTCTTTCATCTATTTCAATCCCCCTTCTTCCCCATCTCATTCATCTATCCTGTCGCAACTTGCTTGCTTACATACCTTACCTTGCCGATACTCTCGTCTACTACGATACCTACCTACCTACCTCACATCGCAATCGCACTGCATATCAAAATGGCAACCGACTACAGCAAAAAGACCAACGCCGAATTAATCGAGATCCTCAAGTCGCGCAATCTCCCCCACACGGGCAAGAAAGCTGAGATGGTCGCTCGGCTTCAGGAGAACGATAACAACGCTGCTGACAAGTCGGAGGAGAAGCCTGCTGCTGCTGCTGCTGCTGCTGCTACGAAGGGCGATAACAACACCGATGATGTGATTGACTGGGAAGACGATGAGGTCCCTGCTGGTGAGGCGGCTGCTAAGGCGTCGACTGCGACAGGCGCGGCGGCGATCGCGGCCGGTGGACAAGGCGAGGTAGAGAACCCCGTCAAGGTGCCGAATCAGAAGTTGGATGAGGAGGCGAATCCTGCGACGGCGAAGGATTTGAAGGTCGAACAACCTGGTGATGCTGCGCAGCAGCAGGAGGAGAAGAAGGAAGAGGAGGGTGCTGGTGCTGGTGCTACGGAGAAGGAGGGAGAGGTGGAGAAGAAGCCGGCAGTTACTTACTCCGCTGGGTTGCCCATTACGGAGATGGAGGAGGAACTGAAGAAGAGGAAGGCTCGCGCGGAGAAGTTCGGTGTTACGGAGGAGTCCAAGGCTGCGATTGAGGCGGCGGAGAAGCAGTTGGAGCGGGCGAAGCGGTTCGGTACTGCGGCTCCGGCTCCTGGGGAAGTGGGTGTGAAGAAGTTGGATGAGGCGTTGCCGGAGAAGGAGGAGAAGTCGCGCAAGAGAGGTCGCGGTGATGAGCAGAGCGGCGGCGGTGGTGGTGGTCGCGGTGGAAAGAAGAGGGATCTCGGAGGGAGGAACAGGTTCCGCGGCAGAGGAGGACACGGTGGGAACCGTAACCAGGGTCAAGGTCGCCCTCAGAAGCAACAGAATGGCGGTGGTGCTACTGCTGCCGCTGGGGCCAAGACCACTAACTGGAGTCAAAAAGACGTCGCGGCCCTGGAAGCTCGGAAGAAGAGGTTTGGAGCTGCTGCGTAGACCCAGAGGAGGGTCGCAATGTGATATTCCGGTTCATATCTCTGCTATCTCTTCTTCTTTCTTTCTTTACAGGTTACTGGCGTTTTAGGGGAAATTCAAGCTTTGGTCTGAAAATATGATGTTGTGTACATGTTGCGAACTGGAGTCGCGGTTGACGGTGTGAGGGATATTGTGATAACTTGGCCTGGGTGCCACTAAGAAGTGCCGGACCTGGTCGATCGGGTCGGCCATTGTGTAACTGGCAAATACGATTCGGTTATTGGATCTGACGGTGTGACAAGAAGTCAGGGCCATTAAGGAGATCCCGGTAGGCATTGTTGGATATTGCCCGGAGATTTCCCCTGGATGTGGTCAAAGATCCGTGCAGGGTGACATGCATCCATCCAATCCGCCCTTGTGTTGCTTTCTTTTTCTTACCCTTCTTCAGTCATTATTTTCCCCATCAAACATCATTCACCATTGACGAAGAAACGAGGCGAATAATATAAAAAGAGGCTGGTGTACAGCATGTAAGCTATCGAATCCCAAGTAAATAGTCGAGCTGCAAGCCTAATTCTGTAGTGGAACTCGTAGCATTCACACGTTCAGCTGAAAATCCCTGGCGCATGAGCATGATGGCGCCCCAGTTCCTGCAGCGCCAACCGACCGACCGACCGACCGTGGCTTCTTTCCTGGCTGGCCTTGGGATCGGATCGGATCTGCAGAACTTAGTCTATCATCACGCACATTCCTTCTGTTTTCGCCCCGAGTCGCATGTTTTTTCCGTCCTAGACAGACGCGTAAACAACCAACGGTGAACAGATTCTAGATGCTCCGTGATTGGTATATGTCACATCGCTTAGGGGAGACGAGGGAGGGGGTAAAGTTCAGATATAGTAAGTAGGCCAGAAGTCAGTTAACCGCCGTCCCACTGAATCACATTCACAGAAAGGCAACAGGGGCGGGGGGGCCTTTGCTTCACTCTGTCGGGCAAAAGCCCTTCGTAGTTGGTTCAGTGCGCCCGTGGTGCTAATTGCTGAGCCAGGCTCCGTTCACCTTGGATCCGTCAATCAGGCGTGATTGTCGCCCCGTGTTGAATGTCTAGCGGCGGATCAAGACCCACGGCTCAGCGACTCCGCATTTCCCTCGGATCGGGGAGAGGCAATGAGGCACTTTTCTTAGTTGATTTTGAAAGGATTGCAGATAGGCAAATAGGGACCGACTGTGGTTTGCTAAGGCGGCGGGGATCCACCGGGTTTAGTCCTCGGTCTCAGCTGCTGTGTGCGGCCTGTAGCTTCGGGGATGTCACTGGTTGTGTGAAAGGTACGCGAAGGAACAAAGTATATCATGTCTGGCCGTTGGGAGAGTGGATCGAGGCAAATGTTCATTTCGTTCTGTGTGATGGGGGCAATAAAGGATGTGACTGGATGGGGGGGGAAGTTGAATGGATCGGGGCGAACCTTCCGGTGTACCAGGGTTGAGTGTGGTGGTAGTACCTTGTCGCTCATTCAGAGCACACACGGCAGAGAAAGTGCAAGTGAATTGCTTTCTCGAGATAACAAAGTAGACAGTGCAGTGAGTGTAGTTCACTCCTCCAGGGACTTCAAAATCCCATTGTGGGAGAAAGAGAATGAAGGGCCTGCCTGCATGTGTGGTGTTGCTATAATTAAAATGGAGATGGC